TTGTAGTCATTAAGTAAAAATATATTTGTTGTAATGTTTTCTGATTCTTTTCCTTTTTATAATTAACAGATAGCTTGGTAAGTTTCCTTATTACTTAATGATACAACAAAAAAGACGTACATGAAAACAATTTCTATATTATATTAATTAGAAAAGAGTATAGTATTTTTAGAGCTGTATCCTTTTTAATAAATAACACTCTGTGTTTTTATCAGAGACAACCAGAATCTTGATTAGTAAGCAAAGAGATCAAAGCAGTATAATACTTGACAGCTATTAAAGATCCGTGTACTCTGAACTGTCTGATTTTCACTGCAGTGAGATTAAGAATCAAGTATTACATTGGTGCTGCAACATGATAGCAAACAGTAGAGGCCGTGGTAGAGGAAAACATGTCGTGATGCTTTCTGCTACTTTTTTCATGCCATAATTTGCCACACTTCTGAAATGTTGGTATTGGTGATGACAGTGTCCCTGAAGATGGGTAGAGTCTATTAGTTTCTTTAATTTTTGTGAGATTTGTTCAGATTTACCCTATATCATTTGTATGTTTAAGTTCTATTGTTCTATTATTGTCCACAGGAAGTCCATCAAAAGTTCCATTTTAAGTTTAGTCTTTGAATTTATGGAGTGTGATAAAAGATAGCTTTTTGCTAAAAAATAAAATTATTGGTTTGGTACTTGAAACTATAATTTTTTAAGGTAAGCTTTATCCAAAAGTTACTTATTTTAAACAAACCACAGTAAATAGAAGCCTTTCTGTATTTGATCCCAGTAGCACCAGATAGTGCGATGACTTCTGGGGCGGTTAGTGGTTTGACTGTACTCACTCAAGGTCTGAAAACTTTAAGCCTGAAATCTATCTGCTTTCAGAATAGTACTTGGGATGTAAACCTCTGTCTCCCCTGCCCAAAGTCACCTTTGGCTGCTCATCAGCTACATTACTGTCTTGATAAAATAGAAAAGACTATGGAAGAATCCATAGTCTAAAAATCTCTTGAAATACTGTGCTGATTATTTTGTTTGCTATACAAAAGGTCTTAATTTGTTGTAGTTCTGTTTTTCAGTTTTTGCTTTTGTTGCCTGTGCTTTTGAGGTCATATTTAAAAAACCAAAAAAACAAAAATACTTTGCCCAGGCCAACATCTCAAAGGCATGCCCTTGATTCTCTCTTCTCCATATAAGTTCCTGCTCTCTTTCAAATTGAGTGTGTGTGTGTGTGTGTGTGTGTGTGTGTGTGTGTGTGTGTATGTGATGAAAGATAGGGGTCTAGTTTCTTTTTTCTGCATGTGGTTATCCTGTTTTCCTGGCATCATTTAGTGAAAGGATTTATTTTTCTAACATATGTTCTTGTGTCTTTGTCAAAATTTAGTTAGCTATAAATACATGAATTTATTTCTGGGTTCTCTGTTCCAATGATTTATATGTTTGTTTTTACCCCATACCATGCTATTTTGGTTCCAATAGCTTCAATTTTTTGAGACAGGATCCATGTAGCCCATGTTGCTCTCAAACTCACTATATATCTGAGGCTGGCTTTGAATATAGTATATAGGTATATAGATGAAGCTGACCTTGAACTTCTGATTCTTCTGTCTCTACCTCCCAGGTGCATCTGGCTTGCATTAGCTCTTTCACAGCTTGATGAAATTCAGTAGTGAAAACATCTAATCTTGAGCTTTTCTTCTTTGAGGGGAAATTTTTCCCCCTATAACTATTTTAAATCTCCAAGTTTTCTATATCCTCCTCTGTACTTTTAAATACATTTTATTTTATGTTTCAACTTAGAAGAATTATGGTTCAAATAAAGAGTAGATTTTAATCTCATCATTTAAATATTGTATTTGCTTATCATTAATGTATTACCATTAGCAACTCATAATTTCATAGCTTTTCAATGTTAGAAATACATATGTGTACATATATATGTGTAACAATATAATTTATCAACCAAACTGGACCACTTTTATGAAAGAATATTAGTAATATGTTAGAAGCTAGTAATAATTACATCAGGACATCAGGTATAAATCAAGACTGTCTTCTAATAAATAGCAAAGCATGGTCACTTTCCACATAAGGAGCATCAACCATAGCTTGTTTTTCTTGCAGGAATTCTCATTAACTCCAGCTCCCTAACATCATCTTTTACTCTCATGATTTTCTTGCTGAAGTTTCTTCTATCTTATAGATGGTTTGCAAGCAGCCTCGAACTATCTTTGGGTTAGTGAGGGTCTGATTGTCTCCAGATTGCATGCTGGCTTAGATTCTTCCTTTATTTTTTCCTCTAACTCCATCCAACCTGTCCTTGTATTTCTCTTATCAGACTTTTTTTTCCCCTCTTCTCAAAAAATATTTTTGACTATTAGAACAAAGTTAGCCAGCACACATGGGCGGAAATCATTACTAGAGTTTATCATATGGAAAGAAAATGATAGCTGAGAACTATATTTTCAAAAACAGCATTGGATTTTCTGCATGGACTTCAGAGTTTGTATCTTTGTTAAATATATAGGCATGATTTTTTTAATTTTTAATTTTTTGTGAACATCATGATGAGTATAGTCTTCATATCATTTCCATCCCTCCCAAACCCTCTCCAACTCCTTATGTCCCCCACAACTCCCTCCCCCTTCCTTGTTTATTATTGTTACATATACATGCAAATGTTTATGGATGTACATGGATTTACACAAATATATTATATATATATTTATATATATTTACACAAATATATATATATATATATATATTATACACTGAGTTCATTCCACAGCTAGGATTCGAACCTGGGTCTTCTGCAAGAAGAACCAATGTTCTTAACTGCTGAGCCATCTCTCCAGCCCCAAGATTTAATTTATTTTAATTTAATTTAATTTATTCTTTCCTTTTTTGGAGATAGGATCTCCCTGAAGCCCTGGTGGGCCTGGAATGCCCTGTGTAGAGCAGGCTAGCCTGGATCTCACTGTGATCCGCCTGCTCCTGCCTCTGCCTCCCAAGTGCTGGGATTAAAGGTGTGAGCCACCATGCCTGGCCAGATATACTTTTTAAAATGACATATGTGACAGATCTTTTGCATTTTAGTGTGTTGTAGCAGCTTCTTAAAGGCATTCAAACAGATATTTATCTACCAAGTGCCCTTAACACTCAAGTTCAGACCGATATCTTTTTATGTGTGCATTCATTACCTGTGTATCTATTTTATTCCAAACAACTTAATTCTAACTCTTTACAGCCAGAAAGGAGGACATTAAGACTGTTACAAGTACAATTAGTAGGGAAGAATTTTTTTGTATCTTTCCCCTTATATATGGCAAGCATAGAAGCTTTAGAAACATAGAATGGAAATTAGTTTTCCATTCTGTTAATTGTGTGTGTGTGTGTGTGTGTGTGTGTGTGTGTGTGTGTGTGTGTGCATGCTTGTGTTTTCAGTATGACCAAATTCAGTGGAAACTCATGTGTTCATCTGAACTTTTCTCAGCCTTTCGATGAATCACTCCTCCTTGAAAGACCCCCCTTTTGTATTATTGTGTTAAAATTTTCTTAATTTAATAGTTTTATGCTAGAAATCTCCATTCTAGTTCTTTAGTAAGTGTGTTGATACTCTAAGTTTTGTGAATTGAGCCTCTGCATCTCCATTGCCACAAATTAGACCATTGCTATAATCAGTTCTTGGCTGGATTGGTCTAGTTATTTCCTAACTACTCATGTGTACTCATGTGTCTTTTTTCTTACCTTCATTATATTCAGTTTTGTTACAGTTTCAAGCCGTAAAGGTAAATTGAGGTATCTCACCCTTCTACTTAGAACACTTTATAACTTCTTTTTTGTTTAGCATCTCCTCTTCATGATCAGGTCTCTGTCTTTTTAACTTCCTCTTAGGCCTATTCCTCTGTACTTGCACACAACTCTTCCAAAGTCTTCTGTGTTTCTCGAGTTTGTTTTCCTTGCTGCTTCTGTCTAGTATACTTTCCCCCTGGTTTTTATGGGTCTGGTTTCTTATATTATCATTTAGGCCTTGACTTAAATACCATCTCCTCCTTAGACCATTTTATCTAACAGATACTACCAAGTTTTGCTATTTCAGTCATTTTCTGTTCCTTTTATAGGAATTTCCACAGTTTCAATGTAGTTTGTGTATTTTTTTCCTTATGTTTGATCCGTCTTCCCTGTTAGGTCTTTGAGGACAGAGACTTTTTCTCTTGTTCCCTTTTGGATTACCCATCACGCAGGTGGTATTCAGCAAATGTCGAATGAATAAGTGACAAGTGTAAACCTTATCATGTCCAGTTTTATGTGTTCACACTTTTGTATTTTAGCATATCTAATTTTGTAAATCTAGAGTGTCATCTTATATGAAGAAATTCAGGACAGATCTAAAATTTCTTAGTGATAAGAGATTGAAATAGCAGACTGAAGGAAATAGCCAACAATAACGGCCCTGGTTCAGATTCTGGTTTTCAACTCAGGTTTTGCTCCCTCTCATACCCTGCATATGAATTCATGTGATGTAAAGTAGTGTGATGATGGGCTGGAGAGATGGCTCAGTGGTTAAGAGCACAGCTGCTCTTGCAGAGGACCTGGGTTCAATTCCCAGAACCCAGATGGTGGCTAACAACTGTCTGTAACTCCAGTTCCAGGGGATCTGATGTCTTCTTCTGACCTCCTCGGGCACTGCACAGCATGGGTGCACTTACATACATGCAGGCAATACACTCATACACATAAAATAAAAATAATAAAAAACTTAAAAATGGTTATGAAAGTTAATAGAGTAATTGTTTCATGTCATTTAGTGTCTCATTATGATCCAGAGTCTGCCATGATGCTGAAATTTATATTCCGCTTTTCAAGCTTTTCACTTTTTTCCAGCCAAGTATTTTATGTCTTATTTTATCCCTATCCCATACAAACTTGCTTTAGGGAGACTGTTTGGTTTTATTGTCACAGAATTATAAATGACCACAAATCTTTAGGCCCAATCATATAATACTGTCTTTCCTGTCAACTAATGGATCTTTCCTCTAGTACTGTGTCACCTCCTCTATTCCAGCAGCACTTGAGTTCATTGAGTTCATTGAAGACATAAGCATTGTGCCAGCCCAGCAACTGATAGCTAAGCAAATGTGAATTACTCTGTCATCTCTGTAGAAATTCAGAAAATGACACATGCCATCTTGTTTATACTTCCTCCTTTTGTGTTGCATTTACTTCTATCTTGCAATATGTTCTATTTGCAACATGATATATTTATTTCAATGAAAAGTGAATACTAGGAAATTTCCTAGGAATTTACAATGCAAAGAAACAAATTTTGTGTGTTTGTTTCAGATACGATCAATCTGTTTCAGACGACAAAGCCCTAATGGTGCTAAGTGAAGAACCACTACTTTATATTCCTCCTCCTCCATGTCAACCCCTGATTAACACAACAGAATCTCTCAGGTGGGTTTTGAAGATCGTTGTAGAAATACTGGATGGCCTCCAAGGGCTAGCTTTTGAACTTAGAAAAGCATTTGTTCAGATTTACTCAGCAGCTAAGAGAATCTTTGAATGATTTGTTGGATAACTATAAGCCTCTCAGTTGTCCAGTTTCCCTATCAACCTGGTAAAGTTGGTGAAGGGTTTATTTGGGTCTACTTAATGTGATATTGCCTGCTTTAATAGGTATTATTTGAAAACTACAGGAAAAAAATGAATGTTAAAATTCGAGGTCATATTAGACTTGTGGATAATAATATTTGTAGCAGAAAATATCTTTTTCTTGAGATTAGGGGGATAATATTTGACTCTGTTGTTCTGGACATACCGTCCTTTATGGCACCTTTCCTAACCAACTTCTTGAAAATTTCCCTGTGCTTTTTGAGGCTATCTTTGAACTTCAAAAACTACCTCAATTTTGTTTTATTTTGTGATAAATAAGTATAGTCTAACTTGTTCACAACTTCTTTAGAAAGTAAGCAAAATAGAATTTATATTGAACTGGCTTTTAAAAATTTCTACTGTTGAAAACTTAAATTATTGTTTTTCTTCTAATAATTTGTTGTTAGGAGTCCTAAGCCTTGATAAGCTTTCTCTAATATCTCAGATGTTTGCGTGGTCATAACCCCAAAGCAGAAACAGAAAATACAGTTTTTGTGGAAAAACTTTGTGTTCAGTATTTGTATCTAAAAGATATTTAACTATAGGCTTCTTTGAATTTTGAACTCATGATTGAGGAGGCTACCTTATAACAATGCATGTCTTATTAAAAACAATGTTAAATGTCTTCAGTTTTTTTTTTTTCAAAATCAAACAGCTGTGTATGTTAGACTACTCTTGGATCCTACAGAATGATTAAATTCATTTCCAACTAAAGAGGAAGATATTTACTTCTTACTTCTATTAAATATGTTTACTTAATTGAGCTGTTCTATAGGTTGAATCATGAACTTCGAGGTTGGGTTCATAGACACGAAGTGGAAAGGACCAAGTCAAGAAGAATGACAAATAATCAACAGAAAACCCATATTCTTCAGGTTTGTTTTTTTAATCCTTGAAGAGATGGGCAGCATCGTTGTTGGAAGTCTTCTTCCTGTGGAGTTGTTTTCTTCCCTAGAATTTTTGGGCACCTTAAGCTTAATTTCTTACTGTCTAAGCCAGAATTTGGAACCCAATGTGACTGTATTGGTTCCATTTACCAAATAAGTTTGTTCCCTTTTTCCCTGCCTTAACTATTTTTGTATCTGCTTCTATTTTAGTGTTTATTACATTTTATTGTTTTTATATAACTTTTTCTCCAATTATACTGTGAGCTTCTTAAAGGGAGTCAGATACATTTAATTTGAAGCCCTGCTTTATATAAAGGTGAATGTGTGGGCCCAATAATGAATGGATTCCAGTAGACTTATGTTTAAGCAATTATTTGCATACCACAAGTACTGTTGTAAAGTAACAGCAAGGTCTCTTTCTAATGTAATAATAGTAATATGTCCTTGAATTCTGATACCCTTACAAAATTCTTTTAAAGGTTAACTTATAGAATTTCCAGGGAATTTGAAAGGACATAGTGCAAAGCAGATGCTGTGTGAAATAGAGGTTTCTAGTGCAGCATATGTTGGCAACTGATGGTTCCAGACTGAACTGTTCTCTTGCCAAGAATCATAGGTTAGATGCCTTTAATGAGATAAATCCATAGGTGAATTTAGGCATGAAGTATTTGTGTTTAACTCAGTGAATGGTGGAGATCTCATTTCACTTTGAACCTCTCATATTTCTTAGGAGCTTATCTATAACATAATTATTTTGGACTAACTTAAGTTGTTATACGCCCAGTAATACTTATACAACTTGGCCATAAAACTTGTAGCTGGACTAAACTTTTGTTCTTTTTCTATAAACTTTGTGGCATATGCCTTAAATGTCTTAACCTCCCTAAGAAACAATTATCAGCCCATAATGTGACCTAAAGGATCCTGAACGATAAATGTACCTTTGAGTCAGTATAGGAAGATCTTCATATGATTTAACTTCATGATGATAAACTTCCTTTTCTCTTCCAGGGTGCTTTGGAACAGGGCTCAAATTCTCAGCTGATGGCTGTCCAGTACACAGAAACCACAAGTATCAGGTGAGGGAATGTAGAAACTTGTGGCCAGAGAACTTAAAATATATTTAGTGTAGTTGAAATTCACACTTCCTTTTTGTGCTCATTTATGACTTTTATATTAGTTCACATTAACACAAACTAATTCTGAGTAGTGATCCCAATAAAAAGATCACCTCTTCCAATATCTTAAGCAAAGATTTAGTCAGAATGTCATTCAGTTACAATTTTGCTGAAAATCTTAAATACATATTGCTCTCTTGTCCTTGATTTACAACTATTTTATAAACCTAGGGGAAAGGAATTTTTATGGTTTTGTGCCAGGTGTTTTGCTGGGTACTTAAAAAATTTTTAAATTATTTTTAGTGTGAGTGTGTGAGTATAAGTGTAAGTATGAGTGTGTGTGTGTGTGTGTGTGTGTGTGTGAGAGAGAGAGAGAGAGAGAGAGAGTGAGAGAGAGAATAGGTATGTGTGTTGAAGTAAGAGGACAGCTTTTGGGAGTTGGTTCTCGCCCTCCACCTTATTGAGGCAAGGTCACTCTTGTTTCTGCTATACTGCGAACTCCAAGCTAGCTGTCCTATGAGCTTGCAGATGATTCTTTTGTCTGTCTCCCATCTTGCTGTAGTAGTACATACCACCATATCCAATCTTTTCTTTGAGTACTGAGAATTGGCCTCAAGGCATCAGCCTTGTGTGGCAAGTACTTTTACATGCTGAGCCATCTCTGCCTTTACTGGATGCTTTAAGTACATTTTATCTTTAAATCCATATAATCATTTGAAGTGTATTCTTTATATTAAAAGGCTGGATAAGTCAAGTTTTTGTAATTTTCAGAGTCATAAAGTGATAGTACCAGACTTCAGTCTCCCTATCTGTTTGACTTAAAAAAAAAATCTCTTCTCATTACATAGTACCATTGAAGATTTTGAAAACTTCCAAAGCAACAGTTCAAACATTTTCACCAAGGCAAGCCTAACTTAAAGGGAAAGGTAGTGTGGAGGGTAATACAGGGTCATGATTAGAGGCTAGCTGTAGTTGGGTAGAGTTCCAATCAGAGACCTTCCTTGCTTGCTCTGTGATTCAAGCAGGTTAATGTAATTGAAGTTTAATTACCTACAAAATTTTGTCTGTACAGTTGATAAAATGGTGTATTTGAGGCACTTACAGTGGTACTTGACATAAATGGTTTCACAGATGGTACAAGATTCAGAGATGGTGTGAAAGCAGTATGGTTAAAGTCAAAGAGTATGAGGAGGTTCACTGTACTGTAGCCTTACAGTTTACTATTTATTTAATTAACATTTACTGAGGCTCTACTGTGTGTTAAACAATATTCTAGGTACTGGGACTAATTATTTAGTAAAACATAATTTAAAAGATGTTTGCTTGTTTTTTGTTTATTTTTATAAATTTGTTCTATTTATTTATTTATTTGAGATAGGGTCTCACTATGTAGTCCAGGCTGACCTTGAGCTTATAGCAGTTTTCCTATTTGAGCCTCCCCAAATCTGGGATTGTAGGTGTGAGTTACTATACCTGTCTCTGGCCATTTCTGAATATAGTATTTTGTATAGTCAGTCATTCTTGTTATTTGTAGTAGCTGTGTTCTAATAAGCTACTGCCAACACTGAATTAGTAAATCTTAAACCCTTCTCCTAGGAGAAATATAGGATCCAATTTCTACAAACCTCTGAACTATAGTAGTTGTCTCATGATTGGTTTATAATTTCTATTTAGGTCAATGTCCTCCTTGTAAGATAAAAGTTTTCTCTGGAAAACAATAAATCCTAATAAATTCCTTTTAATTCTTTATTGTGGTTTTGTACTCAACACCAAAAGACATTAAATATAATTAATATATCAACATCATTTGTGTGTATGGGGTGTATGCGTGTGTTTGTGTACACATACATTTGTGTGCATGTTTATTCCTGTGCATATAGAGACCAGAAGTCAATGTCAGATGTCTTCCTCTGTTGCTGTCTGCCTTATTTTTTGAGCTAGGGTCTCTCATTGAAGCTGGAACTCATTGATACAGCAAGACTAGCTGACTAGCCAGCTCCACGGATCCTCCTGTCTCTGCCTCCCTGGTGCTGGGATTATAGGCACACACCACTGCACCCAGCTCTTTATGTGGGATCCAAACTCAGGTTCTTATGCTTGAATGACAAGAACATTGCAGACTGAACCACCTCCCCAGCCCTAGTATCACTTTAGTGTATCTTTTCAGTTGTGATATAGTTTGAGGTATACTTTTAGGTTTTTAATTTTTATCAAGGTGCCTACATATCAGTAACTGGCCATTTTGAATAGGACTCATGCTTGATACTTTACATATTACATCTCTGACCCCAAAGACAATCCTGCAAGGTTTACATCATTATATTCATTTTATTGATGAGGAAACAATGACAGATTTCCCATTTGAGGAATAGAGCAAGCATTCAATGCCAGGTCCACTTGCTTCCAAAGTCCAAGATCTTTGCAGCATTGGGAATCTGAGACATGGAGGATTGCTGTGAGTTCCAAGGCTAGCCTGGGCTAAATAAATGATTTCTAGACCTGTCTGAGCTATAAAGTGATACTCTGTTTCAAAAGGAAAAGTCATATAAATATAGTAGAATACTATTTAGCCATTAAGAAGATGAAATCTTCATTTGTAACAACATGGCTAGAGCTGTAGGACACACTAGACATATAAAGACAAGTATCGTGTGATCTCATTCATGTGTAGAAATCTAAACAGTTGATACTGTAGAATTTGAGAGTAGAATGGTGGTTAGCAGAGACTGGGAACTATACCAAGAGGGAGGGATGGAGCATGTTATACTTAAAGAGGAGCAAGAAGTTTTGGTGTTCTGTTAAAAAAAAAAAAAAGATTTTGAATTTTTTTTTTTTTTTTTTTTTACCATAAACGATAAATTTGGGTATGTAGCTCTGTGGTAGAGCACTTTTCTAGCAGGTACTTTAGGTTAAGGTCTCTGGACCAAAACCAAAACAAAAAGGTAAATAAGTATGCTTCCCTCTGCTTTGAACAGTACATATTGTTTGCATGGATCAAATGTAACAGAACATCATATGATATCCCATAAATACATATATTTTTTAAAGTAAAAATTATTGTCAAAATGCTACTAATACTTTGGTTGAAACAGATTCTTATATTTCAGACATAGCTTTAGAACAGAAAGAATTTTGAGAGGACCTGAAAGATTTTTCTTGTTAATAATACTTTCCCTTTGTCTTGTTAGTAGAAACTCCGGGAGTGAGCTGCAAGTGTATTATGCTTCACCCAGAAGTTATCAAGACTTCTTTGAAGCTATCCGCAGAAGGGGAGACACATTTTATGTTGTATCATTTCGAAGGGTAAGAGCATTTTGAAAGACTAAAGCAAATACTTTTGAGTACCTGCTGTGTAGAAGGTGTTGGGCTGAGTAGTACAGAAAGACGGGAGCCAGAGGAGACGGAGTGTGCAGTAACTGTGAAGGTGCTGTGATGCAGCTTGGCTCGGAGCTGCTGAGCATTTGATGAAGTTGAACTTGGCACTGAGTCAGGCCATGAGGTATATATCAGAAGTGTAAACTGCGTGCTGATTTTTGCTGTTTGTCACCCCTGTAGCCAGACTGTTTGTTTATAACCAAAGGAAAAGTAGAAACATAATTTTCTCTTTGTGCTTTTTAAACCAATTCTCATTTGGCTATTAAGAAACAGACTTCTAAAATGTAGGTTTAAGATTAATCATGGGCTGATTAATTTATCAGTTGTGGAATGTTTAGATCTGTGTTCCGGAGTTTCTCTGATCCTCTTTGATGTTTCCTTTAAACATTTATACTGGTTGATGAAGAACGTGTTAGATAATCAGTCAGGTTATACAAATGTGAATGTTTATACTAGCATTTTGGATGTTAAAATTGTTAGACCACATGGAAAAAAGTATAACTGTTTACATTCCGTCTGTTTTTCCTATAAAATGGCAATATAGTCTTCATAGACTTGCCATATGATAATCTCTGTTAGAGTGCTATGTGTCACTACATAGGAAAATGTAGATGCACTGGGATTCCCCATTGGTTTATAGCCTAAGCCTATTATTTTTAAAGAAAAGCATATAGGAGGTATATGATTAGAAATAAGTATTTGTAATAATGGAATGATTTGTTCTTGGTTACTGGTGCCACTCACTATCATAGAAATTGTCAATTAGCTAGTTAATTCTTTCCTAAGTTATAAATTCCTTGCAGCTCAGGATTTGGGGGCCAGTGAATTTTAGTACTTGAAGACTAAGGAAGTCACGTGTTTTACATATATATTTCTTCAGTTATGGATACTAGGAGATTTGGGACACTTTAGCCATGGCGTCTCATGATTTCTGCCTTTTCACAAAATTCCTGTGTTTATCTTGTTCTGCCAAACTTGATTTATTTCTGTATGTTCCAGCCTTTTTAGTAGCAAGTGGGCAGCTGACAACAGCTTTATCAAGGCTCCAACTGTATTGGTTCATGAGAACCAAGGATTTGTCTTCCTGTTGACATAATTATATTTAAAGTGAGATGAAAAGTAAGCTTTTCAAAATGGGATAGTTTACTCCATAAGGGCCTGATGGGTACTGAAATGAATGTGTTGAAATATGTGTTATGGAACTTACTACAGGATAATATTTTTAACAGCCAAATAGTTTTTTTTAAGTTTCAAAATAGTATAGAATACTCTATCATTTGATCAAAACAGTATAATATATATCAGAAGCAATAGTTGTCAAGCCATTGATTGAAATCATAGTTAATAATTTTCTAGGGAAAACCCCTAAGTTATATCTATCTATA